CAGGAAATTGGTCTTCATTTGACATAGATGCATGATTTACATATTAATTCCTCCTCTAATCTTTTCTCTTCAGCTTGTGACAAAGTAATTTGGTGCCCTAAATACAGATGCAGATATGGTCAACGAAACCATGACATCATATAGGAATACACACCAATAAATCATCATCCACATAACTCTGAATTGTCTTATATTAAAATTTTAGATAGGGGTGTCTGGGTGGCTGAATTGGTTAAGTGTCCAAGTCTTGATTTCAGGTCAGGTCATGATCTCATGGTTTGTGGGATTGAGCCCTGTATTGAACTCTGCGCTGACAGCACAGAGTCTGGTTGGGATTCTCTCTCCCCACTCCTCTCTCTGCCCCTCCCTCAGTCATGCTCATGCACATGTGCTGTCTCTCAAAATAAATAAATTTATAAATAAATAAAGATGTGAATATTCATAGCAACATTATTCACAAGAAAAAAGAAGCAACACAAGTGGAAAGGATAAACAAAATGTGGTATGTACATACAAATGGAATATTATTCAGGCTTACAAAGTAAGGGAATTCTTTATATTATAGGGAAAGGACAGTCTCTTCAATAAATGGTGCTGGGAAAACTGACAGCTACATGAAAAAGAATGAAACTGGGCCACTTTCTTACACCAGACACAAAAAATAAACTCAAAATGAATTAAAGACCTAAATGTGAGACTTGAAACCATAAAACTCATAGAAGAAAACATAGGCAATAATTTCTCTGACATCATCCATAGAAACATTATTCTAGATATTTCTCCTTGGGTAAAGGAAGCAAAAGCAAAAATAAACTATTGGGACTACACCAGAAAAAAAGCTTTTGCACAGCTGAAGGAAACCATCAACAAAACAAATGAAAGAATACAGAATGAGAGAAGATATTTGCAAATGATATATTCGATAAGGGCCTAATACCTAAACATATAAAGAACTTATATAACTCAATATCAAAAAAATAAATAATCCTTTTAAAAAATGGGCAGAGGACCTAGACATTTTTCCAAAGATAACAAACAGATGGTCAATAGACACGTGAAAAGATGCTCAATATCAATAATCATTAGGGAACTGCAAACCAAAACCAAAATGAGAGATACATTTATATCTATCAGAATGGTTAGAATCCCAAAGATAAGAAATAACAAGTTGGTGAGGATGTAGAGAAAAAGGAACCCTTGTTCCTGCTGGTGAGGATGTAAATTGGTACAGTCGTTGTGGAATAGAGTATGGAGGTTCCTCAAAACATTAAAAATAGAAATACTATGTGATCCAGTAATTCCCTTGGTATTTACCCAGGGAAAGTGAAAACACTAATTTGAGAAGATATCTGCATGCCTATGTTCATTGCAGCATTATTTATAATAGCCAAGATATGGAAACAACCCAAGTGTGCACAGATATAGATGAATGGATAAAGATGTGAGATGTGTATGTATATATTACACACAAACACATACGCATATACACAGTGGAATATTACTCAGCCATCAAAAGGATGAGATCTGGCCATTTGTGACAACACAGATGGACCTAGAGGGTATGATGCTAAGTGAAATAAGTCAGTCAGAGAAAGGCAAATTCCACATGATTTCACTTCTATCTGGAATCTAAAAAACAAAATGAATAAATGAAAACCAGGAACAGACCCAGGAACACAGAGAACTAACTAATGGTTGTCAGAGGGGAGAGAGGGGGGATGGGTAAATGGGTGAAGGAGAGGGGCAGGTCCAGGCTTCTAGTTACAGAATGAATAAGTCACAGAGATAAAAGGTACAATATAGGGTATTGTGATAGTGTTGTGTGATGACAGACGGTAGCGACACTTGTGGTGAGCACCGCATAATGTGTTGACTTGTTGAATCACTATGATGTACACCTGAAACTAATGTGACATTGTATTAACTATACTTTAATTTTTCTTAAAAAGGAGGGAAGTTCCTGACCCATGGATGAATCTTGAGAATATCATGCTAGGTGAAATAATCACATATACTGTGATTCCACTTATATGAGGTACTTAGAGTAATCAAATTCATAGAGACAAAAAGTAGAATGGTGCTTACCAGGAGTTGGGGCAGGCTGAAAGAAGGATTAGGCTTACTAGGCACAGAGTTACAAGTTTTGCAAGATGCAAAGAGCTCTGTGGTGGTGGTTGTCCAAGGTAAATGTACTTCACACCATTTACTTTTATTTTTATTATTACTATTATTATTTTTAAATATTTGTTTTTGAGAGAGAGAAAGAGCACATGAGCAGGGGAGGCGAGGGGTAGAGAGAGAGGGAAGCAGAGGATCTGAAGCAGGCTCCGGGCTCTGTGCTGACAGCAGAGAGTCCAACTCGGGGTTTGAACTCGCGAACCATGAGTTCATGACCTGAGCCGAAGTTGGATACTTAACCCACTGAACCACCTAGGTGCCCCTGTACTTTACACTATTAAACTATGCACTTAAAAATAGTTAAGATGGTAAATTTTATGTTATGTGTACTTTGCCACAATTTAAAAAAAATTTTTAATATTATCATCAGGTGAAAGACCCAGATTTTTTTTTTTAATTTTTTTTTTAATTTTTTTTTCAACGTTTTTATTTATTTTTGGGACAGAGAGAGACAGAGCATGAACGGGGGAGGGGCAGAGAGAGAGGGAGACACAGAATCGGAAACAGGCTCCAGGCTCCGAGCCACCAGCCCAGAGCCCGACGCGGGGCTCGAACTCACGGACCGCGAGATCGTGACCTGGCTGAAGTTGGACGCTTAACCGACTACGCCACCCAGGCGCCCCGAAAGACCCAGATTTTTAAGTGCTGGTAGAGAGCTCATGGGCTCTGAATATTTTTGTAGACCATCCCCGCCTCTTCCCTGAAGTCCATACTGCTTTTATCCCTTCTCCACCCTATACCTCCAGCCTAGAATCCCAAGAGTGACCTTACTCTGACTCCTCACTACACTGCACTGTTCTCTCTCAACTCTCAATGACAACCTACAGCCCCAGGTAACTGGGGTCCACCAAACTTGACCCACATTCTCACTTTGTTTTGGCTTATGCCTTTCCCCAGCTGAAAAACACTCTTCCTTCTGCTTGTATTATCCAATCCTTCCATTCATTAAGTTCCTTCTCACAGTGGAACAACCCCAGACTACAAGGACTTCTCTCAATATCAAAGGGTGTCAGTACTCTTCATTTAGAATTAGTCACATTCTAAATGTATCACTTACTCTTTCAATCACTCAACATTGAGCATGTGTCATACACATGACAATGTGCTAGACCCTGAATCAAATGCTATGTCTTCTGTCTTCTGCTTTTTAAAAAAAATGTTTATTTTTGAGAGAGAGAGAGAGCGAGAGAGAGAGCAAGTAGGGGAGGGGCAGAGAGAGAGAGAGAGA